GAGTAGGGGTAAGCTGGTGTGCTTCTCCCGTGTGGGTTTTGTTGTCTCTCAGCTAGATGGTGCTTGTTTATCTTCAGGTCTTTAAGGCTATAGGTGCTATAATCTTTTGGTAGCTGAGCACCATCAGCTTTCCTCACTACATCCACTTGTGTACCCATTGTCTTCAGTGACTTCAGGTGTTATATTTTTTGGTAGCCAAGCATCATCCGCTTTCTTCACCACATTTTCTTGTGCACCCATTGTCTTCAGTGATAATGTCAGGTAGGTGAGCATCTCAGACTGCCTAATTGTTAGAACAAAGTGTTCTTGTGTTGGGGGAGCCATGGTGTTTTTGATGGCCTCATCTGCATGTGAAAGTTGGACATTGAATAGGGAAAATCAAAGAAGAATCAATATATTTGAATTATGGTGTTGGCAAAGATTATTGAAAATACTATGAACTACTACAAGGACAAGCTTTGCTGTCTTGGAAGAAGTAAGACCAGGATGCTCCTTAGAGGCAAGGATGTGAGACTTTATCTCACATACTTCAGACATGTTATAAGGAGAGATCAGTCTCTGAAGAATTACCTCATGCTTTGTAAAGCAGAGAGAGTGAAAAAACGGAAAACCCTTGACAAGAAGGATGGACACCATGGCTGCAGCATGGGTTCAGACATAAGAATGACGTGAGACCCGGCAGTGTTCCGTTCTGTTGTACACAGGCTTTCTATGAGTCAGAACCAACTTAACAGCGACTAACCACCACAACATTACTTCTTAGGAAAGGAGCTCTATTGTGGTACTAGGCTAAGTATTGGGCCACCAACTTCAAGGTCAGTGGTTCGAATCCACCAGCCACTCCATGGAAGAAAGATGAAGCTGTCTCCTGTAAAGATTTACACTCTTGGGAACTCTAGACGGTCACTGCTCTGTTCGATAAGCTCATTAGGAGTCAGAGTTGACTTGTAGTGGTGGGTTAGGTTTGGAGGAGTCTCTGGGTGCTGCAACCAGTTAAGCCCTCGGTCAGTGGTTCTCAACCTGTGGGTTGTGACCCCTTTGGGGGTCGAACGACCCTTTCACAGGGGTTGCCCGATTCATCACAGTAGCAAAATTACAGTTATGAAGTAGCAACGAAAATAATTTTATGGTTGGGGGTCACGGCATTAGGAAGGTTGAGCACCACTGTCCTAGGGAAAGGCTGGCTGTTTGAACCCACCCAGAGGCGCCTTGAAAGACAAAGCCTGTCAATCAGCTTGTGAGAGGTCAGAGCCTTGGAACCCCGCGGGCAGTTCTGCTCCCCACACACAGGACTGCCTCAAGTCAGAGCTGACTGGACGCCAGCCCAGACCCCGATAACAAGTGCCCGGGTGATGTGATCACACCAACTTCGAGAAGAGACATTAGTGGGCCACGTGGCAGAAACTGCCTACCATGCTCTTGGCCGGCCGTCTTACTCAGGAGCCTTTCATATTTGTGGCACCTTGGAATGTACCTCTCTGCTTCTGGGTGAAAAAAGACATGGGGCTGCACCAGCTAATAGAAGCTGCTCAGTGCCACCCCCTCCTTCAAGTGGTGCCCAGAGCACGTGCCATACCCACCAGCCTTAGCTACCTCTCTGTGAGAAGGCTGAATCGTGTCACCCTTCTCTCCCAAAGAGACAGGAAAGTCCCTTGCTCTAATAATATACGAGGAGGCTTCAAAAGTTTGTTGGAAAATGCCAATATTTTTTAGTTCCATTTTTCCACAAGCTTGTATCTTTCTGGTAGCCAGTCTCAGATGCCTTAAATTGCATCATTTAAATAATTTAAGGCTATTTCCTTTTATTAATGCTATTAGCTACCTCCCTGAAACAAAATCTTACTTTATAAACTAGAATTTTTTTTTTATGGGTCAGGTTTGTTGTTTTTCCCTCTATTCAGGGGTTCTCTTTGGACGTGTAGGAGAGATCTTGTTTTATTTTTTAATTCTAATTTTGAATTACTATAACCTCATGGCTCAGAAATGATAAAAAAAAATGCACACTGGGCAGTTTCCACCCACTCCCTATAGCTTTTACTTCCCTTTACCCCTCTGCTGAGCCCGGCAGCTGTTGAAAATCTAGGGATCTCGATTGTCATTGGTACTCAGTGCTTCTGAGCTGCCTCTTGGTGGTGCAAATCATTAAGTTTTTAACTACTGTCTGAAAGGTTGTTCACACCTCCCTGGAGCACTTTGGAAGAAAGACCTGGTGATCTACTGAGGAAGAATCGGCTGTCGAAACCCCTCCCTGACACACTGGGGGCCACCTTCCATGGGCCAGAATTGACTAAGGGGCAGCGGGTTTGGTTTGGGGTTCGCTGCCTCTGACCCGGGTCTGGGCTGATTGAGGGGGGATGGTTACTTACAAGAAGGGAACACGTTCATCACACGCACTCTTGGCGAAAGTAACTAATTGTATTCATTTCTGTGATTCTGTAGGAAAATTCAAGAAAATGTGACTATGGATCGGTTGCGTATTCCTGTTTCCCCCTTCTGTTATCTCTTGCCTTTCCCCTGAGCGGGAAAGACTGGAGCTCTCCGCACATCTACAGCTCATCAGTGAACAGAGGCCTTCCTCACACGCTCTCTAGCGCGGAGGGAATGCCACTGTGTGGACGCACTCTTGTTTTTTAACTGGTCTCTTAGTAGCGGACCCTTGCTAGTTTCCAATCTTCCCCGATGACGAGACTGTCAGGAATAATTCTGTATGTGTGTGTTCCCACAGCAGGTAAAATATATTCTTTAATCTTCATCGAGATTGCCAAGTTGTCACCCATAGGGAAGTGTTTGCTGTTTTCTTATGTGAGTATTGAACCACACAGCCGAAGACTCACATAGTACAAATGTGTGAACAAACCTGCCCACCCGGTCCCCTGTCACCCTCACAAGCACAACCACTCCACCAGCTACTCAGGGGGCCTTCTATAGATGTGCCACACACACACACACACACACACACACACACATCCATCTTATATAGGCACACACATACAGATCTGAATGTGTGTGTGTGTGCCTACTTGCTCCCTACACAGATCTGCAATGGATATTTCAAATATCTCTCAGCAATATATCTTGGAACTTTCTATGGAGAGCCCACTTTATCTATCTCATTTTTTAATCTATTTGCACACAGCATTCCATTTCGTGATTGGAGGTAGCCTCATGTATCCATGTGTCTCCTGTTTTATAACATGCCTACCAGAGCCAGTCTTCCAATATTTGCAGTTCTTAAAAAGCATTTAAAAAGCAGAGGCCTGCACAAGATGGGTCTTTCTTGTGAGGGCCGTTTGCTTGTTGGGAGGGCTTGGTGTGTGGATGTTCCTGCGCTCTGGGTGCTGTGGGTGAGGGCACCATGCCAGAACCTTATGGTCAACTGCCACGCCTTCTCCCTCTCAGGAGCAGGTGGTCATCTGGAACTTCTTGACCCAAAGCTACCTGTACGGTGACCGTTACCAGAACCGAGTCAACGTCTCCCGTGATGCTGAGCGGTCGGACGCCTCCATCGTCATCGACCGGCTGACCATGGAGGACAACGGCACATACGAGTGCGCCGTCTCGCTGTTGGCAGACCTGCAAGGCACCTCCAAGTCACGCGTTCGCCTCTTGGTCCTTGGTGAGTCTTGAGGGTGTGTGTGTGTGTGTGTGTGTGTGTGTGTGTGTGTGTGAAGGGTTCCATGC